ATAAAGTTATATTTTATCTATAAAACTCTTGCCTCCGTCACGAACTGCCTTAGAGAAGGGTGTAGTTTCTTAATAGACCAAGGAATTACACTTTCTTCTTGGACACCGCTATAAACCTGTAAAGGATCCCTGTAGCCGCGTCGTTGTTATAGTAGCGAGTTCAAGAAGGCCTCCCTACTGTAACAATATTATAACTTGTTATAATTATAAAGTTTAATATTAACTTTATTCGAAATTTTATCATATATGCTTTTTCAGTTATATCCATATCATCATCTATTTACTTATCTATGTATTACTTAATTGTTTATCAAAACAAAAACCTTTTATTACATGATATTTATTTTGGAGAATATATGGAGATGAGTTAATAGAAAAAAGACAAATTTTTTCTAAGTAAAAGTTTTTTTGACTTTAAGCTTAAATATCTCAACAACTTTTTATTAAATTTAATAAATTTTTTTTTATTTTAATTTTATATATTTTCAAGATTAAAATAAAAAAATTTTTGGCAAATTTGATTAAATACTTGAAATATTTTAATTTAAAAATTAAAAAAAGTTTACTAAAAATGATTATCTTTTTTCTATTAACTTACTTTTATATTCCTAATTTAGATTAAATAAACATTGTTGATCTTTTGGTAGAAGTAAGCCAAAATTCTCACTTTTGTTGAAATTTTGAAAATAAAGAGAACCAAAAAAGACAGGCCAGAGTATATACCAAAGTAAGAAATATAAGAGTTTATATTATATAAAATAGTATATTTATCCAAGCTTCTATTTTTGTTTTTGCTTAAATATAACTTAACAAAAACTTTCTTAGTTATTACCAAAGCTATTTTTAAATAGCTTTATAGACTTCTACTAGAGAGCCAAACCTACAAGAAGCTATTTTTTTCAACTCTATTTCATAATATTTATATACAATTTGAAGCTCTTAAACCCAAATGCTATTTGGCAAAGTTTTGTTATAAAAAAAATATACTAACTATACAATATAGTATATTCTTCCAAAACTAATCTTGTCAAAACTAATAACTTGTTATAACTGATAAAAAATTGATACACTATATCTAATCTACTATTTCTAATAACTAAAACTAACAAAATTAGATATCTATAAGATATCAGTTTTAACAAATACTATAAATTGATTTGATTGGCTCAAATAGAGTTTGTGTAACAAATTATATATATAAGAAATATAATTTAGTCAATTATATTTAGTTATAATTATGTAACAACAGGCTATTAATATTTTAAATTCAATAATCTTTCAAATCTAATACAAAAGCCATCTACTATGCATATCAAATTTGAAAGTATATACTGTATTTGTAGATTAATTTTAGTGAAAATTTTTAGTATAAGAGATTATTGAAAAGAGTTTATAGTAAAAATATTAAAAATGTAATTTTAGTATTTTTCAAATATAATACTACTAAAAAATTTGATTTATAACATATATAACAAGACTTTTTAAAAGCTAAATAAGCTTCAAACTTACACTAGTTTTTAGTTTCTAGTATATTATTAGAGTTAGCATAGACTAGTTAATGGTCAAGCTTAACCAGACTAGTTTAACCAATTTGACTAGTTGGTTAAAAGGTTTAGTATTGGTCAAATTGGTTAAAAGATATTTAAATATATATATTATTATATATATATATATTTATTTATTTTAAATATTAATTTAATTAATTAATATACTAGACTATTTGACCAATTTAACCAAACCATTTGACCAATTTGACCAGACCAGTTTAATCAATAAATTTTTGGTTGACTAGTAATTTGATCAACCCTGTATATTATATAACCAAAACATATCAATTAGCTCTGTAATATGCTTATTTAAAGGTAGAGTATATGTAGATTATTTTTCATATGATATGTATGACATATCAAGACCTTATATAGACAATAAAAATTAGCTACTAATAAAAATTTTTATAAACATAGTTAATCATTACCAAATTTTTGTAGAATATAAATTGTAACTTTTATTTATAGTAGTAAAATTTTAAAGGCTATATTATTTTAAAAAAAATATACTTCCTTATACTGTTAAATTTGCCGGGGGAACCTCAAATTTGCCGGGGTTACACAAAAAAATAAATAGTAAAAATATTTCTAAATCAGGTAATTACCCAATTAGATTTGTGCTTACTATGTAATTTGTTATACAAAAAATTACTATGTATATCATATGAAAAATGATCTATATATACTTTACTCTTAAACTCTATATAGCAGATTAAAATCATAGCATTTTTATAATTAAATATAAAATTTGATCACTTTTTATATATATAAAAAAAAGCAAATTTGGCCTCTTTTAAACAATTTAATTTTATAGTATATTGTATATATTAAAAATTTAAAATTTGGCCACTATATATTAGCAAAATTTTCAAATTAGCCTCTTCATATATATAAAAAATAAAATCTGAATTTGGCCACTAAAAAATTTTAGTTGCTGTGACTAGATTGTTTACACTGTGTAAATTTCTAGGCATTGCTAGCCAGAGATATATAGGTCTTGCCTTGAAAATAACCTTACAAGACTATGTAGATTTTATTATAAATAAAAATTAAAATTTCTAGCTATCTAATAATCCAAATTCAAATAACTTTTTTTATATTGTAGAACTAACTAAGATCTACAAAATAAAAAAAAAAATTTATTTGAATTGGATTACAGTTTACCCTCGATTATATCAACCCATTTGAATTTATTTAAATTCATGTTGATAGTGATATTAACAAGGGATTATATTAAACGTTAATATATATGAGGGAATTTTAATATATAAAATTAGTAAAAATTCATCTTATGGCTTAGGTTGATATTAATGGGGTTGATATTAACGAGGGTAGACTGTATATACTAAAATAATATATTATCCTCATATATATCAACTTTTAATATAATCCCTTGTTAATATCACTATCAACATGAATTTAAATCAATTCAAATGGGTTGATATAATCGAGGGTAAACTGTATTTTATTTAGATATGGGATCTTTGCCCTGAAAATCACGTTATGGGACATAAATCATATGTCCCATAATGTGATTTACATGGCAAAGACACCATATAGTATTTTGAGTATAATACTGTAACAATCTTACCAATTACATTGTTCATGTAATTGACATTTTTTGTGGTTTTCAAAATTATAATATAAATAAATGTGTCACGTAGTGACATGTGAGAAGCTAGTAAGGTATAGTACAGTAGTATATATTTTAGTATAAAAATTCAGTAGTATCTATCTATTCTTTTAATCCAACTGAATTTTTTTAAGAATGTTTGTTAATGTTTCAGGTTCACGATATCCCAAGTGCCCAGTTGTATATTCTGTAATATCAAAATTTTCTACATTAGGACAATTTACTGGTGAAAGTCCAGCAACATTTAAATCTAGTGAATGCATCCGATAAATTAATCCAAGGACAATATCATTTGTTGCATATGCATTAACGAAACGGCGAGCTACTACACCAGAAACCGCTTCCCATTTAGAAATTGGCGTAGACGAAATAGGTGCACCAATAAGAATAACTTTATATAAAGATGAAAGAAATACAGTAATTAGATAAACTATATAACAACTTTAAAATATATTTCAAATTAAGTATACCGCTATCAATCAATCCATATTGTTTCCGTTTCGTTAATTCTTGTAAACATTTCCAAATAACCAAAGCACCAAGTGAATAGCCAATCTACAAGAAATAATTAAATTATAATAAATAAGCATTGATATTTTGAGGCCATTTAAATTAATTATATGTTTAACGCATTTTCCTTCAGATGTATAAAAAGTCTTAATTATAATACACTTCTTATTTTTGAACAAGTTTCGTTATCCTTCTAAACACTGTCTACATTCTGAAGTAGCGTTAAACATACCGTTCATTTTGAACTGCATGAATAATTAAAAATTCATAATACCAAAACTGTTGGTCTTTTTCCTTGAATACGTTCCATCAAAACATCAGCCAACACCAAACCTGCTTTACGTGCACGATCTACACCAAGTGCCCATGGATTATCTATCAAATCACCGGCTTTCATTAAAGCAGCTGGCAACAAAAGCGCATTTGCTAAAGTCGCAAAAACAGTCCTTTTTATAGCTTCATTAGCCGCAATCTTAACAGCTGACTCAGTTATAAAACTACGAAATGATCGACCAAGTGACAAAAGAATTTCGGGATCGAAACTCAATGCAAATGTATCGCTGTAATTGGAAGCTTTTTCAAACGTAGGAAGCCAAGGAGTAGTAACTTCACTGACATCCTCCAAAAGATATCCTGAAATAACAATGTTGACCTATCATTTGCCATATAAATTGTAAACAAGAAATTTTCCCATAGTTAGATGCTATATAAAGAGGAAAAAATAATAATTTTTGATCAAAATTAAATCACCAACATGAAGAGACGGGATATGAGGACGTGAATTATCGTGAACGATCCGATTAAAAGAAAATTCCTTTAAACCTTGAGTTCTTTTATGCATTTTGTAGCCTGTAAAAATTAGTTTAGAAAGGTATTAAAAAAAATATAATGGTAATAAAACAAAACAAAAAAACAATACCTGCAAGTCCACCTCCAGCGATCCCGAATAAGGAAGCCATTAATGTTACGCTTGAGGCAGCAGTTGCGACAATCCCAGCTCCAGTTATTGCACCTATTCCAGCAGCAACAAATGGTGCAGCTTCACTTGACAATGCACAATAGTTGAATTTTGTTAGTTTAAAATAGTTCAATGAAGTATATGAAAAGCATGTATTAAGCGACCTACCCAATCCTCCGGTTAAGCCAATTGCAGTTGCACCCACTACAACACCAACACCAGTGGCCATCCAATGCCACTTTTTCTTCTTTTTATCACGACTAATTAGGCTAGTGCTTGCGCTATTATTAAATCCTTGAATGTTTTGGTCACCATTGTTAGAAGTCTTTCCACTTTCAATTTGCTCTTGTTGCAAAAAATATAAATGTTGTGCCAACTTTTTCTCTAATGATTCGACATCAGTTATAGGAACTTTCAAATATTGTGCATACTTGAATAAAACTGCTCTTGATCGTGCATCATATTCTACCGGCTTATTTACTAGAACAATCGAATCTGCTAATGGTGTATCAAAATTACTTGCATCAGATACCATATCATCAACTTTTTCCTTTAGCTCCAACCCTTCGCTAGAACTATTTATATCATTCCGCACAAGACCGAGACATATTAACAAAATTTCTGAAACAATCTCCTGACGAATGTCTGGTTGTTCGAAAGTGGATATTAACAGTTCAATATTTATTTTGCTGTTATCATCGTCAAGCTCTGTTATAAATTCATATCAAAAATTCATTAAATGATCCTTCTGTCATAAAAAGGTCAAGAAAATTATGTATTAGGTAATTCGAGAATAACTGATCAATTTTGGATGATTACGGCTTAAACGACTCATAATCTAGAATTTGTCTAAGCCTACAATCATCAATAACCAGGCGCTTAAAAATATTTGGGAAATATTGAAAAATTTTTTTTAAATAATTCGTGGACGGCTAGATAATCTTATTTCACTTATCTAAATCCAGAATTAATGAAAATAGATCAAACAATTCCCAAATATTGGCTGTATACAATGGCAGATCGTTCATCACCTTGCCTATTTATAAACGAACTCTATAGACTCGTAGAATCGTTTTCATTTAAAACGGATCAGTCGTTCTCAAATTATTCAATGTACAAATTGTACATTATTTTTCAGGATCATTTTGCGACCACCGCATTCACTTTTATCAAAGATATGAAGTCAAACCTTTTGTACGGTCAACAGCTAAATGCTGAAATATATTATTAAGAAATTGTTGTTTCCATTCTAACTCAGAGTCGTTATTCGACCATACTCTTTCGTAAACAATGTGAACACATAATGTTGCAACATTAAACCGTTGTGTAGAAGTCTAAACGAAGAATTATTAGTTTATGCGAATTTGAAATTTTAAAGACTAATAATGCAACATACCCAATTTTTGCTAAGGGCTAGAGGATCAAAAATTTCCTGATCAGTTTCTCTCTCCATTATTTTGTTATGCAAAGTAAACGTTTAACGTCTAACAGGATGTTAATCCGGTTGACTGGATATTTGAATTTACAAAATTGATTGGCTAAATAATCATGATTTACGAGTTTCATGAATGCAAATAACTGGATAATATTGATGTTAGTTAGGATAAAAAAAAAAGTTCTTGTATAGTTCCGTTTTTTCGAAGCATCAATATTGACGGAATTCTGTTAAAAGTCAAGATCTGCACAATTAACAACACTAGTTTTTTGGAGACAGAACGAATTAATTTCTAATTTTTTAGGCAGCAAAATTTATCGGTAGATAAAATGGTAATTAATGTGTTATATTACAGTACACCCTCTCAAAACTAAAATCGATAACCTGCTATAACTGTCTGTTCCATAATTCA